CAATGCATGTACTACAATGAAAAAGTGTACCTAAATATATACCTTCTTTTCATCCAATTTATAAAACTTTCAATAAAGCAATTAGAAAGTAATGGACCTCTGTGCTTTGATAAAAGTCTTGTCCTCGTAAGTTCTGACAAAAATCCAGAAGCCATTGCTGTGATTCTGAGTTTGATATATTAAAAGTTTCATCAAACTTCAAAGTTCTTTCGATTTTGGGTTTAAATAATTGCCAATCTTATTGGTAAAACTCCCCAAACAAATCGTAAGGCATGAATGTCTCCACATTACTTCCCTGTAAATTTACAGATTTATTTAAAACAAATTAAATACATATACAAATTAATATTAGAAAAGTTAAATTATTGTATTATAATACAATTTATAAACATTTTCATTTAAACAAACCTAATAAATGCAGTTAGTTTTTATAAAACTAATACTGATCCATTCATGAAAGAAATCCATTCTGATTTACCTTAAGAGCTTCTTCAAATCGAAATTTATTCGATAATTAAATCGTATTGCTCAAATGGGTGTGTAGTGTCAAATAGTTGAAAACCATGTGAATCGGGTAGTTTGAATTGCGGTTTATATAAAACAACTACAGCACTTCCAGCGGCAGCAAGACCTTAAAAATGAATTATTATTACATAAAGTAGTTCATAAAATAGAAAATTTATTATGTTCTTAAAAATATAAAAAAAAAACATTTATATTATGTGAGCAACAGTTATTTTATAGTATACCTGAATTTTATTCTTACCCAAAATATGATCCAAAAGTACCTCAGCTTATAACAATATTAATGATCATATTTTCAAAGTAGATGCCTAATCTATAGAGTTTAAAATTCAATTTTGTCTGGTAATCTGCACAATATCTCATGAAACTAATTGATTTAATATATTGGCAATCAACTTTCTCATAAAATAACATAGCGGCAGGCATCCAGGTCATCATTATAAAATAATTTGCCAATACTGCTGTTCCACTGAATATACTGACATATAACCATAATTATTAGCTATGTTTAATTATTTTTTAAGATTAATTGATTATCATAACATACCCAAAACATTTTACTGCAGTAATATTACTGAAAAATAACGAATACAAAGCAGCACCTGTCGTCAATGAAGTCACAAACATACATGGTGAAGCTTTGCTTAAAACTTTATCAATGAGTATTGAAAATCTCTTTGTTTTATTCATATTTGGTGAGTTATCAGTTTGGTCATTACTATTAAAAGCAGCTAAATTCTGTTCAAATTTTATCTTTTCAATGTTCCAACTTTTATCAAAATAAATCCTCGTCTGCACCAATACCTGAATTTAAGTAAAAGCTTTATTACTATCATTAACTTAAATTTAAAAAAAAATAGATCACTCACCTACAGCTATGACAACAGCTAGTAGATTCATAAATGGAAAAAAGCTTATATTAAAATAATCGTGTATAAAAAGTAAGATAGTCCAAGAGAAAATAACATCGCACTCAAAGTCATGCAAGTCAAAAATAAAGATCCAGTATATAATAAAGTGCATGTAAGTACAGACAAAGCACCCAATCCTGAAAGATAAAAATCACAACAACATAAATATACTTACAAAGCGCTGTTAACAAATAATGAAATCATTCAAAAATCTACCTATTAACCAAGTATCTTTCAAAAGAGTTTCTTCAAAAAAGCATATTTTATTCCTAAGTCCATTGCTGATATATAAATACCATCAACATTATTTTAGGTAAAGTGTCATAAAAAGACAAAGAATCCGATATGCTTCTAATTGGTTAAAAATATCATAGTATTATGCAGAATGGTAAATATAAAATCCTGAAAGATAAATATTATTTAATCTAATTCTAACAAACTGATAATTTTGTTTAATATAATAAAAATATTGAAATTGAATTTGCCATGTTGTAAATGATTCAGTACTTACATTAACAGCAAGGAAGTTGTTCTCAGTCAAATAATGTAAAATGTTGTATGGTATATTGTATGCTTACATCTATTGGGGACCGTAGGGCATAAAATAGTATCAAAAAAATCAGATTGTAAATGAAAGTTATGGTAATAGTAAGAACATTCTTGAAGTAGATTGATTGTTTCATTAACATCAGCTTCCTGAAAATAAAATAAATTTTTAAATCACATAATATATACATTTATGTAACATTTAATTTAAATATACCCAGAGTTCATTCTAACATACCGTAATTTGGGCAATTGTGATGTCCTCCAATCACAGCCACATAATTTGGCAAAGACCAAGGGAGAGCAACATTGTCTATTTTTATTAGTCATACAAAATTCATTATAATTTGTAGAAGAAATTAAATTTTGTTGAGTTCACACATATTAAGTAATGAATGCAATGAAAACAATGATTCTTCTGGATCAGATTGTGATATCACAAAATGAGCATAATCTGGCCCTGAAATAAAGTTTTATAAAAGAATCTGTACAGAACATTAGAAATATATTCAGTATACTTACTTGGATAGCCACAAAAAAATTCATCATAATGAATCTTGGTTATATCCTCCGTATTTGAGAAAACATCGATCTTGTCTTTTGATATAAATCTCTTATATGTTTAGATTTGTATTCCTTTTTTTTGTTTTTATGCTTATTGTATTTGTTATTTTTCTTTAACTTTTTTGAGATTTCAATAATTCTCTTGGATTGACGGTAAGCAAACCAGATGGGCCTGTTGCATCTAACAAATTTTGCCATGTTGTAATTCGATTAGAGATTTCAGTTCCTCGAGCTTCAAAACCCTGGAATAATAATATTTTATAATGTCATAGTTAAACTTGCATAGAAATTATGTTAAGTAGAAAAGAAAATAAAGGAGAGGAATATTTATACCAGCACAGGGTCTGCAAAATCTGGAATGTCTTTAATAAAAAAAGGCACAATTAATGTGGTTGAAGCAAAAAGACCAACTATCAACAAGAATACTAGCGGATTTGAATCTAATAATCGACTATAAAATTGCATGTTATCATTTTTCTTTGCTTATAATAATAAACTTAAAATTCCAATATTAAAATATTAAAGTCGAAATGTCCTGTATAATTTCATAGCTATATTACTGCACTGTTTTGATAATGGAATATGTTTTGATTTAACTTATTTTTTAAAAGTAAAAAGAAATACACTTATTATGCATCATAACCTAACATTTATGAAAATAATGTTGTTTATAGCAACAGATGAATTTCAAATGTAAGCTGTCAATCTGTCAATGTTCCTGTGCTTCTCAATCTGTTTGTTTTTCTACTTACACTACCTAGGAATTATTGCCCTTTTCATATAAAAAGCAAATTAGTGGAGTGCATAGCATCGTGCCTTAAGGCAAATTGCTGGAACTTCCCGTACCGTAATTAAAAATCTTGGTACGGAACCCAAAAAAAATCACACAAAACGTGTATGCAATATTAAAATCTCTATAAAATATTTGATAATTTGATGTATATATGTTCAATAAACATTTTTGACCGCCAAATGACATTTATTTAACTTTTTTTTTATTGAGAGTCCATAACCGTTGGAAAAATTTAATCAGTTTTTCATATTGTCAATACTAGTAAAACGTTTTATAAATTATTAAAATCGGACGCTCCGTTCTCCTAAAAACTGAGTAACTGTTTTTGACACTTTTTGCCTCGTATCTAGACCTGCCTTTACCAAAAACTAATCAGCACGTCTCCTTATCAATACGAATCGATTTTTTTTTTGAATTATTCAAATCGGTTGATCGGTGTTCCCGAAATCGTCGACAAAAATTTGCATCCGCAAGCACACACACACACATACACACACATCCATTTTTTCTAGGGTATGCCAAAATATTAGAAACCTTTGAAACGCAAAGATATACGAGGTCTGTTCAAAAAGTACCCGGAATTACTAATAATTAATTTCGCGGGTCTGGAGTGTCTGATTGTCAAATTTTTTTTTATTGTGTTGGTATACATGCCCCTAAAGTATGATGAAATTTCAGCTATATTCACTGTTTACTTTGTCTGTGGTAGTCGCTAAGGTTCGACGTGTTTTCTGAGCTCGGCGATTTTTACAATGGAAGAATTGAAAAGTCAAAGAATTTGTATTAAATTTTGCGTAAAAAATGAAATAAAGTGTTGCAAAGTGCAAAAATTCACCAGATATGGCTCTGTGTGACTTTTTCCTATTCCCAAAGTTGAAGAGACCCATGAAAGGACGGCGGTTTTCCTCGATTGAAGAAAATCGCTGAGAGTGCTCAAGGACATATCAAAAAGTGAATATCAAGGGTGCTTCGAAAATTGGAAAAAATGCTGGCATAAGTGTATTATATCTGGGGGGGACTACTTTGAAGGGGACCACATTAATGTAGACGAATAAATAAATATTTTTTGAAAAAACGAAAATTCCGAAAACTTTTTGAACAGACCATGTATAAAAAATTTCATTTACGATTTCTTTTGCGATTACTATAACTTACCCTAAGGGAAGTTAATTGCTTCTTTAATTTTTTAACTTCCTTTAAATAAAAAAATCCACATTGCAGAATCTAATAATCGATTTCTTAAAAAAAATCTTGTTTACTATTTCTTACTACAATAAGAGGTATAGTCAAAATCGTCAAAACATTATGTTTCAACAATTAATTAGGAAGAAATGCATCTGGCGATCATGCTAAAATCTAATCAGCATGATTCCTTACTGATACCTTTAGTAGAGCTTCTGAATTTTGAAAATCCTTTCAAGATTTTTGTGGAAAACTTGCATGAAATTTTTTGCCGATTGTTTCGCAAAACTAAATAACGCCAGTCCTTATCGAGTTATAGTCCAGTCATTTAAGCTTAATTTAGGTAAGAATCTCAGAATTCGAGATACCCAGTTGTAAGTCTGTAAATACTTGTATATTGACACCCTAAAGTTGTCTCAAAACCTACATATGGTAGGGTGTAAATACCATATGTAGGTTTTGAAACAACTTAAGGGTGTCAATATACAAGTACTTACCAGACTCAAAGCTGGATATCTCGAACTCCGAGGTGTTACTTACTATAATGACTGAACTATTACATCAAATGACTTAAAATTTTAATATCGGCAAAACTAACAAATCGAATTTTTCTACGAAAACATAAATTTCTCATTTCGGAAAGTTAAAAATTTTTGGAAAAAAGCTTTTATTTCAGAAAAATTAAATCATGAATAATATTTGCTTAGTATCCAGAAAAACTGAATATATATATATATATATATATATATATATATATATATTCACACACATATATATTTATATATATATATATATATATTTATACATATATTTGTGTGTGTGTATAAATCTATCTACCATATCTTGGTGATATACAACGCATTTTTAAATTGGAAAACAAAGCTTAATAATATTTAAATGTTTTTAAATAGTTGCACCAAATAACATTCATTACAATTAAATACCAATATGAAACTATAAATAAAGCCGCATTGATTTATTTTGTTTAGTTGTAGAGATATGTCTAACATAATGTATTTTGTTATATTGATTTATTTTATGTTTATATCAAAACCGGTAAGTTGCTTTGTGCATTGATGATAAAATAATTGAATGAAATATATGCATATATTTTTCTGTAATTAAAAATTTTATGCTGACATATGTTGATATGTAATTAAAAATTTTATGTTGACATAAAACCGAGCATAACATCAATAAAAAGAATATTTTTTAAAAAAATTATTTTACAAACCTCACGTTTTGGATATTATTTGGATATTTGGCCTTCATTCAGTGGATTTATATATACATACATATATATATATATATATATATATATATATATATATAATATTGACTTTATCCACTTGGAATATTATTAGCTTATTACTTTTGAATTATATTTAGTACTATATATTTTAACAGGTTCATAGTGCAATATTGATCAACAAAATTCCAATTATTCAAACGGGAGAAAACATTACGATTTTGAACAGTTTACCAAAATTTAATGCTTCAAAGGCAATAAATGAATTGCAAACTTCCTTGAATGGACTTGTTATCCAGAAAAAAATTTTTAATAAAACATTAGGTGAACAAAATACTGAGTTAAATCATATAATCAAATCAGTAGAAAATTTTCCTGAAGGTAATTGGACACGAGGAATAATAAACATAGGAGATAATCCTCCTCATAACTTTATTTTATCAGAAAAGTCTTCATCTGATAGTTCGAAAAATTCGAAAAGTGAAGCAAGACATATTAATAATTTTCATGCTGCAAGGGATCTGCGTTCTCCAACTCGATCAAAAAGTTTAAATTTAGAAAATGAAGAAAAATCTGAACAAAAACCAAACATAAATTTAACAGAAATTATAAAGTCTTTAAAAGCCAAGGTATCCGACAATACCGATAGATATTTATGCACACCTGCACGAGAATATAACAACGAACTTTATACAACTGATGATATAATAATAACTTTTGGCAGTAATGTTGATAACGAGGAACTGAAGTTACTTGTTTTCCGAAATAATGTAACTGAACCTTTAAACCTTCAGAACATTGATGATAAAAGCATAATAATAATTTGTACCAAAATAGCAAACTGCACTCAACCAAACAAAACTAATACATTATTGACTAAAGAAAATTTTTCTAAACTAATATCAGATGCACTTACTAAACATGATAAAGATGATGTTACCTTTAATATTAATGAAGGTACAAATAATTATAATTTATACACGGAGCCTTTTCAATCGGCAATGAATCTACTTGGAAACCCGGAAGAAAGATACAAAATAGCAGGTATGCACTACCATGCTCAAGAAGAACATATGAAAAACAATGAAAATATCTTAAGAAATATTCTCTTTGAATTAACTCGATTAAACGATCTTCAATGGTATCAATATATAAATAACCAGCTACCACATCTTGAAAATTCTGAAAGATTGAATATCTACAGCAGATCGAACCCTATAAACACTCCTTCCTTCGCACATCATCCTTTAGAAGAAATTTCTAATATGATAAAGTTTGTCCTACATCTAGAAAATTATGCAACGGAAAATGGCAATTCTAACTACAATCCTCGTATTAAATCTATTTTAAAAAATCTTATTGATAAAATTGATCACGATAAAAATAACACGAATAAGCCACAAGTCAACCATAAAGTGGACGACATAAACATGATCAACCAAACATGGGATAAATCTCAACTGGATTTCATTATTGAAACGATTGAAAACTTGATCGATGGTAAAGATAAAACAGAAAAAAATCTAAAATTTACGAAAGATTATGATGACATTATTATAGTTAATGACACCCAAGCAAATGTAATGAAAAAATATAGATTGGTTAGCGAACGAAGACTTGATGAACCGGCAAGTAAAATAAGAAAAGCCCTTCAACAAGAAAGTAGTGATAATTTATCAAAGGAAAATGATAACCCTGATCTGGAAGTACTTATGCAAGATTCGGAAAAGTATAAACAATTATTTTTAAATAATAAAACTTCTAACAGCATGTTACAACCTGGAGTTGAAATACAGACGAGTAATGAAAATTCAGCAAAACCACAAATTTCTCATATAGTTGTAGGTAATAATACTGAGGATATGATTACAGATATGAGTAAGATTAAAATTATTCGACAAGGAGGCATATAATATAACATCTGATTCCAATATTAAACCAAATATGCAATAAAACCTTGGATATTGCAATTATTTGAACATTTATTCTTTAAAAATAAAATGGTAATAGATGGAAGTAGATAAATTGATATAACTATACTTGTAGAAAAGCAACAAAAATCATTAGTGAGTAATATATAGTAAATTTATACGGCTTAGTTTATTATTGAAATAACTGTTACATCAATTACATTAGCAATAATAAATATTATAATTATATTAGAAATATAAACAATAGAATATATAAATAATTATGCATTTTTAAAGTCAGCCTTTTTATAAATACTTATTTAATTAAGATCAGTAATCCTAAATAAACTTACAATTATTTTTAATATAAAATTTAAGAGTAAAGAATAAAATACTAAGTTTACTAAGTAAATTTTGGTTTTATGCTCACTGGGAGACTTCTTTTTGCTTGCTTTTAGGAAAAATTATAAACACCTTCATATAAAACTTTAAAATAAATAAAATAAATAAATAAATAAATAAATATTGATATTTAAGTATCATTAACTTATATTAATTTGAATCATCCAAATTTCTTCGTGAAACCCTTCGTCGTTGAGCGACTTGAGATCTATATGTGAACAGAGGTCGAAAAACTATTGATTCAGCAACATCCATAAGCTCATCTTCCAAGTTTTCATCAGATTTTAACTCATTTTGCCTCTTTACTATTTCATGCTGAATGTCTGTATTATTTGGTAAGTCTTTCTCTGTATCCATATTATTGTTTTTTGCAACAGCTTCCAATACTGGGTCTTCAATTTTAAATAAATGGTCTTCAGGAGCGAGAACTTTATCTGTGTCTTGAATTATTTTGATGTCTGATATAACTCTATAGTTATCATTAGGTCTGGCTTCGATTATGCACATCATCACTAAAGCCAACAGGCAAATTGTCTCCAACATCTGAAATTATTATTTTATAAGCTTTTCATACCTTTGACCAAAATTGTTGAACTTTTGAATGTTGGAAAAACAACGTTTTGTAATGCATTTGGAATCATTTATCTCCTTCAATCTATTATTATAATGTTCCAAGGTGAGTTATTAGTAGCACTTATCGCAAATGTATGTAAATTTAAAATGATTTATAAATAAATAATTATGATGAATGCTCTGCCAGAAGGCAGGTCCACTAAAGTCCTACTACATTCACATATAGGTATAAACGGAGTCTAGGAATCGGGCGTAACATCAAAAAAGCAGTTTTATTAAGTTGTTTCAAAATCCATATACTTCGACTATAATTTTCCAGCCGGGAAAATACCGGATTTTTTTTTTCTAACTTGAAAAATAGAACTAACTTATCCATGAGATGAGATGAGAATGTAGTATATGTCAGTAACCGATATAATAGAAAATAAAAAATTAATATTTATATAAATATATATCAAAATTTTACTAAAAAAACACTGTGCAAGCTGCAAATTGGCTGTTACATTTATAATAAATTGGTTTACAGATCGCACACATATTCTGTAATAAAAAATCTAGTAAAAATGTGTATTTCGTTAAATTGTAATATATGTATATTAAATTGTATAACAATTTTTGATGCTTTTATTACAAGGTGTAGTTTTACTATATTCTTATACCGAGGTTAAGTTCTATTTATTTGGGAATAACTTATTTATTTTTCAATTTTAATTAGATAAAAAAATATTTTTCATCTGAATAAGGGCCGGCACGAATAGATTTTAGAATAAATGAAAGGTGTTAAATAAATTAATTTATTTAATTCATTTACCGGCATTATAAATCTGTTTGCATTTCGAATATTAATAAAATATTGCAGTGATTAGTGAAAGCAATAACTTTAGTTTTGAAATGGTTGAAAATTTCGTCTAAGTAGCTAAATCATATTTTTTATTGATTAAGTTAACTTGCCTTAAGGCAAAATACCACTAACTAGCATAATATTCATATTGAAAATAGATGATTGTAACTATTACTAAATAATGTAACGAACGATGTATTCATGATACAAAACGACTTCTCACAAAATTATTTTGTAACAATAACACATAAAAGTTGAGCATTTGTTTAAATTTAAAACAAAGAATGTTTTCGGATTGATATTACAAACAAGAAAAGTCTTCACAACACAATAATCACAACACAAGCGTCTAAAAACTCCGTATTGTTTAAATTCACATGGTATGATCAATCGAAATAATTTACTTACATAATAAGCCATTATTTCACTGCTTTTGTCTTTGAACTTGTTTATTAATTTTGTAATAAAGCTTTTTAATAAAGCAATGTTTCTATTGTATGTAGTTCTTCCTGACTTCTACAATACTAATGTTATGATATGATGGTTCTTAGATATTTATATGGTATTCGACTTCGTGATTTAGCACTTAAGTACGAATATTAAGATCGTATAATATTCAAGTATATGTGAGGAAATACTAATAATGAGCTTGCAGAAGCAAACTGACTAATGGTATTGCCGATTTTTATGATATAAATATTTTATAAAATGATGGATTGTCCCAAAAACTAGATAAATACCAATTATCTTTATGTTGCTTAATGTCCAGCTAATTCATTAGGGCGAAGACGTCCTTTCATTTATAGTTCCATGAGGGTATTTTTTTATACTTGTTATCTTCCAATTATAGTCCCATGAGGGTATTTTTTACACTTGCACTATTGCACTATTTTTAACTTTGTTTTTACCATATAATCTGATTTGATAATATTATGTTTTCTCGACGTTTCAATCCATTCTGCATCGTTTGACATAAAGTTCCCTCAAAAACTTTAACTTTCATAAATTTGAAAGACATTTGATGTAACTCGATAAGGACTCGGATTGAATATAGTTTTAAACGTAAGATCGGCTCATGCGTTTTTTTATTAGTTTATAAGAGCAAAATTTTTCGTCAACGTTTTCGCCAAAACCCTCAACCGATTTTGGAAATCGGTTGATTATCATCGAACTGTTCGTGTAATATCAGGGTTAACAGTGGTGGTAACAATTATTATAAAATAAATTCATTTCTATCATATTTATAGAGATATAATATGTTTAAAAATAGTGAAAAAGTTCCATTATACTTTAACGCAAATTGCATAAATTTTCAACAGTTTTTAAATGCATTTCGCCATCAAGTATGCCTTCATTATATTATGTTAACGATGTATGTCCATTTTTTTTATTAAATCGTTTTTATTGCCTCTATAATACTGTAGGATGCTAAACTCTGTTAGTAATAAAATCGCTAAAAGAATTAATTTCAACAATTAATTATGAAGAAATGATTCGGCCAATCTTTACTAAAAGCCAATCAGCAGTGCCATACTTGATGGCGAAATGCATTTAAAAACTGTTGAAAATTTATACAAATTGCGTTAAAGTATAATGGAACTTTGCACTATTTTTAAACATATTATATCTCTATAAATATGATAGAAATGAATTTATTTTATAATAATTGCAGTTTTAAAACATTGCGTGGTTAATACAGTTGAGCAAGTAATCAATAACCTATTGGCGAAAGATACTACATAAACATAGAGTTTTATTTACATTGTTAAAAAGTTTCAATTTCCAGTATTTTTTAATTATGAAGTATTTTTTGGTGATTCTTCAAAGAAAATTTTGCATCCAATACGTTACTGAATTTTCAAAATAAATTGGGTATGACATTCAATGAAAATTTTAAGAAATCATGGCCAATAATAGATGATTTTGGTCATACAAAATCATGACCAATAAAATGTGACTCATTTTCAAAATTATTTGCCTACCACACCACGGCTTGCACACATATGCATTACTTGATTGTAATGAATATTTATGCCATTTAATTTTTTGTCCAAATATTTTTAAAATACACAATAATGTAATTCAAGTTAATTTAAATTTTAATTAATTAAATTTATTAACAGAAATCGAAATGTTGAGAATGATAGCCTTGTACAAACATATAAAAGAACCGACCAAATTAATATGAATTGCAATAACAAGAAAGCAGAAAAATATTGTTATAATAGAGTAGATAATTATTTTTATTAACGACTAGACACTTTGAAGTAATAATTTAAAAATCAGCAGGTAAATTTTCATAAAAAAATTAAGTAAGTTTTTTGATTACTAATTATCAAGTGGAAAAATTAATATTTTTGAATTCAGAACAAATGTTTATTATGTTCGTGCAAAAACCCATTCTTTCGCTCTGCAATTTCTTGATTTTATTATAAAAGTGATAAAATTTTGATTGCCAGGTATTATGCATCTCATAAATTATTATTACGTCTATATTTGATTGAGTAGTTATTAATCTGTTTCTAATACTTATTTTCATATCCAATTTTAAATTCTGGAACTAGCACTATCAGTAAATTAGCGAGTATTTTGCAATAACTGAATTATATTGTTACTATGTAAATAAATTACATTATTGATAGGTTGAATTTTTAAATAAAAAAATAAATATTATATCAGTAAATTTGCTTTTATACATATTGAACAGCAACCAGAACTAACTGGCATTTGTGATTTAATTATTATAACGAGCCCTATGTTATAGTGTGCAATCCAAAAGGTTTTCCTTTAAATTTGTGATGTATTTATTTTGAATTGGATCATATTTTTAATTCGTTGCTCGAAAGGTATTTTTTTACTTTATATGACATTTAGATCTATATTTTCAATTCATATCAGATATCACAACTGCTTGATATCAGGTTGTCCCTGATGAAAATCTAACCTGGATCGTTGTAGTTTTAAGACCAAAGCTCTTAACACAAACAAATGAGTAAGTACATTTGGCAGTATATGATATTTAGATCTATATTTTCAATTGAAAACAGGTATCACAACTGCTTGATATCAGATCGCCCGAGATGGGAATACTACCTGGAATTTTATAGTTTTAAGGCTGAAGCTCTTATGACAAACGAGTGAGTAACTAAATTTGGTAGTTTATCTATTTTTCCTATGTATTAATTAT